ATTGAACTGTGGTCCCTGTGCTTTGCTAAGCTTGTTCTAAGTAGGTGCTTTAGACCACTGAGCCATCTCCCCAGCCCCTGATGCTGATTTTATTATAGTAGCTTTGTAGTATAATTTCAAGTTAGGGATTTTGATGCCTCCTGCCTTGCCTTTGTTGCCTAGGGTTGCTTTTTCTATTCTAGGTCTCTTTTGGTTCCAGATGAATTTTAGGAATGTTTCTCTAGATCTGTGAGGTATACCAATAGTATTTTGATTGGGATTGCATTGAATCTCTATAACATGTTTGGGAATATAGTAGTGTTGTAGGAAGCCAAATTAGATAGAAATATTATAGGCAGTCAGACAGAGCTGGGCCCTCAAGGAGACAGCACAGAAGACAAGATTCCTTGTGACTGTGAGAGAGACGGATGCTCCCACTGTGGGCCAGACCTTAAGACCAAAGATGGAACAAATGCTGACCTCCCTAAAGATTAGCATCCAGGATTGATCAGCACCCTGAGGAAGCCAGGAAGAGTCACTAATCCAACTGCTCCCAGCTACTGGATAAACTCCTGTTCTATATTCGTACCCGCTTGCTGTGTGACTTGCTTCCCCATTTGGTCATGGACTTAATCAATTTTCCTGAGCAGAGGTGCTTGTGATCTCATTGGTTGACTGTGGTTTTGTCCCACCTCATGCCCACCTAAGCGAGTTCCCATGTTTTTCACTTTAGACCTGCCTCACTGCATGGTTTTACTCTATAAAAGTCCTTGGAAAAGACAGCTTCCTGGGGAAAACCTGCTTGGGCCCCGCTTCTGTCCCTTTCTTGGACAGAAGCTTTCTTTCCCCCTATAAATATTCTGCTCTTAACCTCCATTTGTTCCTAAAATTCACTCTTCAGTTTTAGAGAACACGAACTCGTCCCGGGTCGGGAGTTTCATTTCCCAATATCTGTAGTCCTTCACGCTTGTGGTTTGATTTTTGTGGATTCACTGATTTGTGGGTTTTTAAAAAACGTTAATATAAATGACTTATTATGGAGTTTTGTGAATATTGTGGGGTTTTGCAGTACTGTAACAGCATATGTAGTTAAAATTATGTGAGTTTAGTCTTATCCATGAATAAGGAGTATCTTTCCATTTTCTGAAATCTTTTTCAGAGTATTGTAGTTTTCACTGTATAGATCTTTTACCTCTTTTGTTAGATTGATTCCTACCTAAAAAAAGTATTTCACTTTTTTTTTTTTTTTTGGATACTATTGTGAAGGATATGGTTTCCTTAATTTCTCTCAGTGAGTTTGTTGTTTGTGTACAGAAATACTGTTGATTTTTGAGTGTTGTCTATATCCAGCTATGCTACTGAATTTGACTTATTAAATGTAGAAGTCTTTTGGTAGAGTTTTTTGGGTCTTTATATAGAATATCATGTCATCTGTGAATTACAATATTTAATTTTTTCCTTTCCTATCCTTATTCCTTTTTTTTTTTTTTTTTTTGGTGGAACCAGGGATTGAACCCAGGCCCTTGTGCTTGCCAGAGAAGCGCTTATTCCACTAAGCCATCTCCCCGGCCCCTATCCTTATTCCTTTTATTTGCCTCTCTTGTCTGATTGCTTTGACTAATGTTTCCAGAACTATGTTGAACAGGAGTGGTGACAGTGGACATCCTTGTCTTGTTCCTCATCACTCTTGGATAACCTGCTTCCCCTTCCTATGACTGACCTGTGATCAAGAGCTTTTCAGGTGGACAGGCTCCCTTTTTGCCTCTGTATAAAACTTTATGAAATTAAAAAAAAAAAAAAAAAAAAAGGACAGTGCACATTGTGCTGTGAAACACGTGGCTTCAGGTTCTCTTCTCTGCCCAGGTCCTGACAGACTCTTGTTCGTGAGCTGTGTCTTCACAGAGTGGGCCCACCACTTGCTGGGTTTGTCATTCTCGCGGTCAGGGAGGTTTTCGCAAGGTCTTGGTCCAATCTTGTGCCTTGGCTGCCACAGGTGGGCTTTCACCACTTCATCTTTCTCTTGGTTCCCAGGTTTGGCATAAATGCCATTTAGTGAAAAACCAGGCTCTCCGTGATTAGGAAAGTTAGTGGTTTACAGTTTATATATATTTTTTCTCTCCTTGGCGTTTGGAATTGCACTTTTGGAGTTTCTCTTTTCTTTTTCTTTTTTTATATCAGAGATCAAACTATTGCCCTTGTGCTTGTCAGGCGGGCCCTGTCCTGCTGAGCTACATCTGGTGCCCTGGTGTTTTGTTTTTTTAGACATTCAGAAATGTAGAGAGTTATATGTATTAAAGTCCTGCTAGCTTGATCCTTAATTTCATAGGTTTTGAAGAATACATTGGCCTTAAAGTAATAGATGGCTTCACCCACAATATCTATATATTTTTTTTGTCTCTCCTGTGAACTGACTCCTTATGGGTAGTAGTATGAAGTTTCCAATGATTTTGGTGTTAGAGTCCATGAGAGAAGAGTGGCAGGCTGGCATTTTAGCTAGGCATTCAACACAGAGGAGTAGGACCTGGTTAGTATGCAACCCCAGGAGGGGGGAGGGGCGTGGTGGTGGCTCAGGCTCAGTCTTTTTTTTTTTTTTTTTTTTTTTTTAGATAGGGTCTCAATAGTATTCCAGGCTTGTGTTGAACTTAGTATGGAGCCCAGGCTGGCTGGATCTTGCAGCAGTCCCAAGTGCTGGGGTTTACAGGCATGTGCCAGCACGACCCTACCAGGCTGTTTTGATGTCTACTACTGGAAAGGCTAGAACTGAGTCACAGAACGAACTTCTGTAGGAGGAGTTGGCAAATGTCTTGTAACTGTGAAAGTGGTAATTATGGCAGTGTCTTCTACTTACAGTTTTCCTTTGGGAGTCCCTGCCTTCTGCCTTTGTGGGGATTTGTCAGGACTTCGTTGCTGAGGTTGGCTTACCATATACTCCCCCTCAGGAATCTTAGGAATGTTTGGTTTAGCCTGCTCTGAATGGACCTCTGAGCCAAGTTGGGAAGGTGAGCAGATAGAACATTCCCTTCCAGCTGTTCTTTCATGGGTCTGGCCTGTTTAGGGGTCTTGTCTGGCCTAGGCATAACCATAACCCTCTTTGGGTCTTCTGTGGGGGTCTCCTCCCTATGATACTTTTTTTTTTGTACTGGAGATTGAATGGCCTTTGCACTCAGCTACATCTCCAGCCTTTTGACTTTATTATTGTTATTTCTTTATTATTGTTATTTCTTTTGTGGGGGGGCTCATCAAGACCCTAGGTGGCCCAGGCTGAGCTTGAACCTGTATTCTGCTTCAGTCTACCAAGTAACTGGGATTACAGACACTTCTTCATCCTATAAAGTGCGAGCGCAGTGCTTCCGAATCAGTCCTGTGTGTGTCTAAGGCTATCCCTTGGTCCCTGCAGGTACCATGAGTGGATGCAATCAGAGGAACTACAGCGTTTGACAGCCTCGGAGCCACTGACCCTGGAGCAGGAGTACGCAATGCAGCGCAGCTGGCAGGAGGATGCCGACAGTGAGCAGCTGAGGCCCTGGTCCTGGGTGGGCTGAGTCAGGGATTCCCCCCTTTTCCATCCCGACTCCCATCCCTGTGGGGCCACAAGAGCTTTATGGAAAGCTTGGAAGCTAGGTGCAGTGTCACACACCAGTGTAATGCCAGCTGCTTGGGAGGCAAAGGCTGGTGGATCACAAGGTTGGGGCCAGCCTAGGCAGCCAGATGGGCATGTAGCTCGGTGCAAGGCTTCAGTCCCATCCCCAGAAGACAATGAGAGAGAACATGTGGGTAGGTGTGCTAGAAACCCTTCTATCCACAAGACTGGTCCCTGTGGTTGACCCTTTTGTCCTTTCCACTTGCTGTACCACACTTAGGATTTACAGAAAGTAATGCCTTTTATGCTCTAGCCGTCGGTTTAGGCTCTGTCCTCTTGTCCCTTTCCGAAGCCTAATGTAGTTATCCTCCTTTGGATCTGCTCTTCTAGAGTATAGTTGCTATTTGGAGAAGGCCATTTTTCCTTTAGATTTAAGGCTGTTTTGGAGCTTTGTAATGAGCTGCATGGAACTCTGGGCAGGCAGACAGTGGTTTTCTATAATTTCTGCTTGGGCACAAACACCCTCTGCACCTCTCTTCTCTGGGCTGGTGACTGTAGGCAGTAACTATCACCTCTTCCCTTAGAGTGTACCTTCATTGTGCTGGATGCAAAAAAGTGGCAGGCCCGGCTGGGCCCTGCTGAGGAGAGCTGCATGGTGGGCGATGTGAACCTCTTCCTCACAGATGTGGAAGACCCCGCCCTGGGGGAGATTGAGGTCATGATTGCAGGTTTGTCCACAGGGCCCAGCCTCCCTTTCTTCCTGGCCTTCCAACCTCAGAGCTTAGTGTGAGGCCAGTACCAGGCTGGGGCAGGCTGCCCCTCAGTGCTTCCTGCAGCCTCATGGTTCACCCCTATGTTCATCACTTTCTAGTGCATCAGTATAGACTTTTAAGTTCAGTCTGCCCTTGAGGCAAATAGTGGACACTTGAGTAAAATGATTTGCAGAGTGTTCTCCTACTGGAGGGATTGCCTTTCTGTTTCTGCATACCTGCTTCCTCAGCTTTCCCCAGGGGCCCCTGATTCCTTCAAGGGAGTATACTAAGGTGAAGGGGTCAGCTTTGGAGTCAGATTGCTGGTTGCAAGCATGACCCCTGGGTGTGTTCTTTCACGTCTGAGTGCCTCTCTTCCTGGTGTACAGAATGTAACAGTAGCACCAACCTCACAGGGTGTCACACACTGGAACCTGGCCCTAGTGTCAGCTACTGTGTTGCTCTTTGTCCTAGAGCCTAGCTGCAGGGGCCAGGGCTTCGGTACTGAGGCTGCTCTCCTGATGATGTCCTATGGTAAGATGGTCTGAGTGGTGGGTAGCGTGGTGGGAAGTGGCTAGGTCCCTGAGGGAGGGTGCTGGGTGCCAGGTGCCTGTCCTGCAAATGGGGACAGGAAGTAGAGGAGCTTCATCCTGCTGCTTGTCCCTCTCCCTGTTATGTCTGGAGGAGTGACCAAGCTAGGTCTGACTAAGTTTGAGGCAAAAATCGGGCAAGGAAATGAACCCAGCATCCGGATGTTCCAGAAGCTTCACTTTGAACAGGTAAGGAGGTTGCTGGGCAGGCCAGAGTCTGGGTGGTGGGGTTGGTGGTGTTAGAACACATGAGTCATTTAGTGGGCCCTGTCCTCTGGCTCTTGCAGGTGGCTCTAAACAGCGTCTTCCAGGAAGTGACACTTAGGCTGACAGTGAGTGAGCCTGAACAGCAGTGGCTTCTGGCTCAGACCAGCCACATGGAGGAGAAGGCTTATAGAGATGGATCCGTGGAGCACCAATGACAGCCTGGCCCTGGCCACCACTCTGCAGGGGCCGGGCGCTGGGTTCAGCCACTCCAGGGGCTGCAGCTCTTCATGGGAGATGCATATATGGTCCCTTTGGTCCCAGTTCCAAATTGCGAGTCACCTTTCAGGACCTTCAGGCTTAGACTGGGTTTGCCTTGGCCTCATCCTGGCTGGCAGTGGCTGAACTGACTTCTCTCCCCTTAGTATGGCTGGCAGTGCCATACTGACTCAGATGCCCCTGGAGGACATGGCAAGAATGTACTGGGAAGGACATGATGACGTGGGGATGGACAGGCCTTTCCTCTTGAGACCAGAAGCACCACCCAGGGCCACCACCCTGGCTAAGAATGAAGCCCTATGGACGGGGAGATGGCTCAGTGGAATAAGTGCTTCCCTGGCAAGTGCAAGGGCCTGAGTTCAATCCCCAGTTCCACAAAAAAAAAAAAAAAAAAAAAAA